TGGCGTTGGCCATCAATGTGAGGTTGGCCCAGGATCGGACATTGTTTTGTTCTGCTGTGCATGGGGTCGCTATGAGTCGGTTCTGACTCGATGACACCTGACAACAACAACAACAACATCTCCTGTTCACAACTACCAGGAGTCATTCAGAAAGCTTCATAATACAGCAACATACATGCATCTAATTATTGAAAACACCTCAAATTATTAAAAATACCCCAAAAGCAACAGAAGATATCAGTTCATGGCCAGAAAGAAGATAGAGTAGCTGAAACAAAAGAGCTGGAGGTAGCACTAGACTTCCCATTGGGAGGAGGGCAGGCTCTGGAACTGCCTGATAAAGAATTCAGGAGAACGATACTGAGGTACATCTAAATGTTTCATAGAGGGGTTGAGAAAAATAAGAAATGAGTCAGGAAAGTGCTATAGGACCAACCAAATACGATAGATAAAGCATTGGAAATAATTCAAAATCTGCAAAAAGTGGTCTAAATGAATAATAATAAAATATAAAAAATGGAAAATATACTGAAAGGGCAAAGAAGCAGAATTGAAGAGATGGAAGCCATAATCAGAGTGCTTGAAGACAAACCTCTCAATACTACTAAGATAGAAAAGCAAGCAGAATAAAGAATTAAAAATTCTAATGAAAGTCTAAGATCCCTGTGGGACAACATGCAGAAGAATAACCTGATAGTAATTGGAGTTCTGGAACAGGAAGAATCACAGAAGACCACAGAGGAGATAGTTGAAGAGCTTTTGGAACTTTCCATAACATCCTGAAAGATTAGATGATAAGCATTCAAGAAGCTCAACAAACTCCAGGAAGGACAGACGCCAAAAGAAAATCACCAAGACGTAGCATAGTCAAGCTCTCCAAAATCAAACACAAGGAGCCTGAAAGCATCTAGGGAAAAGAATTGTTATTTATAAAGGCAAACAAAAAAGAGTAAGCTTTGATCTCTCAACAGAAATCATGCTGGCAAGAGGGCAATGGGGAGACATATAAAAAATCCTGAACAGAAAAAAAACTGCCAACCAAGAATCATCTACCCAGAAAAGCTGTCAATCAAATATGAAGGTACAATCAAAACTTTCCAAGACAAAGAGATGCTA